TCTTGCCTTAAACAAGGGTTTTTGGAGAGCATTTGGGAATTGGTGACTTTTATTATGAACTTGGTGAGTGTCATGCTGTCTTAGCTCTTTTGTATGATTCATTTGTCGACCATTCAATATAGTATATTTACTGTGGCTTTGCTAAATTTTACAAGTATATATTATGATGCTTTGACTACTTGCCTTTGCTTTTGGTGTGATGCATTTTTATTCATGTCTAGTATTTTTTTGATACATCTTGTTGCCTAGAAAGGGGTACAAATTGTTGAAATATGTTTGGCCACCAGATCGCTCAATGGAGGCTTGATAAACTTGCAGGAGTTATTAGACCTTCTAGGTTTGAAGCGTAAAAATGCCCGTGAACCAGTATCAGAGGATGATTGTTTACGTGCTATATCAGAGGATGACTTTCTACCTCTGCTGTTGCTGCTACTTTAGTGCTGCTACTGCCTCCTATCTTTGATTGTGTAGTTTTTTTCTTTCTTTTTTTTTTCTCAGTTTTTTAAAGTGTAATATTACAAGTTATTGAAAAAAATATATGTGTTTTATGTATATTATGATTATATATAAGTATTTGGTACAATTTAAGTGAAAAAAAATGCAAAAAAAAATTCAATTTTTTTGGGCATATTTGGCACCGGTTTTGAAACAGAACCGGTTTTTTTTTTTGGCCATTTTTAGCACCGTTTCACAACAAGAAGCGGTGCGAAATCTAAGAATTGGCACCGGTTTTGAACCGATGCAAAATCTTCTGGTTTTTGGCATCCCTCAAATCTGCACCAGTTCAAAACCGGTGTTAAATGGGGGTTTTGAACCAATACTGATTACCATTTTTCGCCTAGTGCACGTAGGAATAATAATTTTAAAACGCTACAATAGGATTATGCCACGTAAGATTAATTTTAGAGCGTCACATAGGAAAATGTATATTTTAGCCAATGAAAAAAAAGAATTGCAATTTATTTTAGATCAAAAATTTTATATTAATTATAAAAATAAAATCAGCGCGTTTTTTGTGTGGCTGACCATATGGCGTGGCCGGCTGAGACAAACCCAAACACTGACCGAGTAACCCCTGATCGATTGAATAACTCTTGATCAACCAAGTAACTCCTGACCAAGTAATCCCGACCACACGGTGTGACCAGCCACATATGAACTTTGTGAAATAAAATATTATCTTTTTATATTACGAATTTTATCTAAATATGATAAACAAAATTAATAGTTAATAAAAAAATTCAAGTAGTAATTAAGCAAGCGAATGTCACAAAGTTTATTAGATAAACATACATTTAGTAAAATAGTTTATTTGAATAAATACAAACAAACCATGCATCGCACGGGGTTCATCTAGTCACAAATCAATACTATATACTAAAGTAATCACCATAATTATCCCAAAAGTACATGTGTTACGTACACAACAAAAAATTTCCCACCAAAAACTTTTTTTTTTCTTTTATATTTTCCTTAAACAATAGGATAATTGATTAAAAAAAGAGAGATAGAGAATATGCACCCTAAACAATCCAAAAATAGAACAATAACAGCAACTTTAATTAAATAAAATAATTTTTTAATCGTTAATCTATAAAATGTATATTCTCTTGAATCTTTAATTAAAAATCTATAAAATGCATTGTTCGTTCCCTACAAAATAGAGATACTCTACATTAATGTATCTCATCCATATAATAATTTGATAACATAAATAAATATTTAAATGTATACACAATCTATAAACAAATACAAACTTATAATAATATATAAAAATTAATTTTTTCCTGTGAATATCCGAGTGTTGCTCGGGCAAACAACTAGTTCTTGATTAAGGCGAACTTTCATTAAATTATTGTAAGATGGATTAAAGTTACCGTAATAATATATAAAAATTACCCTTTTATACTACAAAAGTTACCATTTTTATAACAAAATATTTACCCTTACAAAAATATTTATAATGTATATATTAGATTAATAATATTAGTCTTCACAACATGTATTTATTAGAAATTACACATTAAAATACAATCAAACTTATGCAAATTAAAAGTTACCCTTAACGGGGTTAAAGTTACTTTAAAAATTGTTAAAGTTACCCTTAAATTGACCGTCTTACAATAAAATTAGCGTACGTCTGCCTTACGCAAGACTTATTGAAAACAAATTGGTGAAGGCAAAGGAAAAATTTCCTGAAAATGATTTAGTCAAGAAAGTTAATGAAGATTTATTTGGGTAAGATGGTAAGGGAACAATCAGTTCTAAGCTAAGATGAAAAAATCTGTAGCTTAGAGGATTTCTTGAATGCCATTGCATAAGTTGAAGGATATGATACAAGCAAGTGAAAAGGAAAAGAACATAAAAGAAAAGGAGAAATAACAGGAGTATGATATAAGAAAAGCATTTTTGGAGGGGCTTTCATCGGTTTTTACCGGTGAAAAGCCCCAATCTTTGTTTTTTGTGTGCCTTTTCTCTTTGTTTTTGTTTGTTCTAGATTTATAATAACTATTCTTCTTTTAGGAGGAACGTTTCTCCCTCGAAAGTAAGGGCTTTTCTTCTTTTAGGAGAATTTTTCTCCTTCGATAAAAAAGGTTTTTCTTCTCTCTTTTGAGGGAGGATTTTCTTTTTTGTTTCATGGATTGCTGTAGAGTTGTTTCATGGGTAAAAATTTGTGCGGGATCGAAAAAGAGGTTAATCTTTCATTTACAACCAGACGAATCAGGCAAAAATTTTCTTCACGGCTACAGCAGATCGATAGATTCCCTCGTCGAAGGTGGCTGTAAATCACAGCGATGTGAAAGAGGGTAAAAAATGTACGATTTGCAAGAACGATCGTGGCTTTGCTGAAAGGATGTTTTTATTTGATTCAATTGTCATGTATTGTTTGATATAAATCTCTTTGTATATGCCGTATGACTTTTTATTTATGAATCAATCTTCGTTTGAAAACAATATTAGAAAAGCATTTAGCTTAGGATTAACTCCACCATCTCCGGTCATTGGTAAATATAACAACATAAAATTTTAAATTCATCAATAGTCAAAATATGATAAGTTTTACTAACTTTTTATTTTTTAAAGAGACATAGGTCCAACTTCTTTAAGAAATGGTGTTATTATTGGCTCCAAAAAAACCTGAACTAAGTAAGATGTTCATATTCAGATTTTTAAAAATAATTTATCTTCAATATTAAAATTTTTAAATTGCAAAAATTCTGTCAACATTGCCACAATGGCTCATAAATAATAAATATATACTCCCTCCGTTTTCTATTGTTGGTTCCATTTAGAATCTATACTATTAAAAATTAGAGAGAATCTTCTAAATTTCTTTATACAAGAACAAACATAATCAAATGAGATTTAGTTTTATTCATCTCGATGAGTATATTATTAATAATTTTTATAATTTTTGCTAGTGTGAGATTAAAAATATTTACGATTAAAGATTTGTATCGACATAAGTAAATGAGACTAACATAATGAAACAAAGATAGTATTTTTTTTAATAAACAAACACAAATTTCAATGCAACTTATTTACTTACTTTGATAATCAAGTAATGTATTGTTTGGTTACCATAGGTAATAAGTTCCCATAGAAAATTATATTTCATGGGAAATAATTTCCCTTTCCCATTTCCTAGGAAATAACCTAAACTTATTTGATTGATAACATAGGAACTTAAATTTCCTAGGAATTGATTTCCTATGTTTTATTAGTTATTGGAAAATTTGTTAAAAATAAGTCAACCTTTATGTGGTTTGCTCAAAATAAGCCAATATTTCGATTAACTCAAAATAACTTGACTTTTAAGGGGTATTTTTTTAAATAGGCTAAGCGACTTATAACCTACCAAATAGGTCATTTTTTAAATTAAAAATACTTTATTAAATTTAATTAAGTAATTTAACTAAAATTATATTAAATAAACATTGCACAAAAAAAAAAAAGCCCATCCATCCCCTTTCCCTAAACCACTTACCACTGTCAGCGGCCGGCGCCGGCGACCACATCCATTCCCTGGCGCCAGCGACCCCACTCCCCTCCATTTCCCCCACCCACGACACCCTACCCTCCCTTTTACCCATTCTCGCTTCCCCCACCCCCACCCATACCCCGACACCACCCATTTCCCCCTTTCCCCGTATCGGAAACTGCCCCTCCCCTCGTTCGCCACCTGAATAGACCCCCTACCCCTTTCCTACTAAAATACGGCAGCCCAAAACCACCATAAATGACACCCCAAAATCACCAGAAACGAGTTTGGGTGTCGTTTATGGTGGTTTCGGGGGTTGATTTAGGATTTGGGGGTTGAGTTTAGGGACGGGAATGGGAAAGGGAGGGGATGGGGTCGTCGATGACGGGGGAAGGAGGTGGTCGCCGATCGCTGGAAGGGGGAGGGGGCTAGGTGGCTGGGATTTTTCAATTGTTTTTACGTTTTTTATTATTTATTTATTTATTTGATGATATTATTTAATTGTAAATTGATTTTGTAATGATTAATCAAAAAATAAAATGTAATTAATTTTTTTTAAAAAAGACCAACCACATAATGAGACTCGTTATATTTTACCTTAACAAACGGTTACATTTTAATCTAACAGGTTTTGACTCATTTTGAAAAGATATCTAATAAAAATCGACTTATTTTGAGTTAATCGAAATGTTGACTTATTTTAAGCTAATCACGCAAAGGTTGGTTTATTCTTGACAAATATTCCTTAGTTATTTTAATTATTTTTATTATAGTAAATTAATTTGGAGAGAGAAAGAAAGAGACAAAATTAATAGTGCTAATAATCCAAGTAGGTCCAATGATAAGTATGGAAAATGTGACTTACAAGGGGGGCTTAAGTGAATTCCCATGTTCCATAGGAATTAAACCTACCCTCAAAAATTATATTTCCCCTAATTTAATAATTTTGTGTCAACCAAATAACACATTATTTTCTATGTCTTTTACCTCCAACTAAATAACACATAAATCAAGTGATAAATTGGGTCTTGCTCAACTTTTGTCACCTCCGAACCCAAACCGTATAATTCTCTTTTCAGAGGGAAGAGCAAACACGAACGTCAACGAATAAGCTTGTTTAGAAGCCTAAGACCCTTTGCCCAATTCAAGATCAAGGGAAAGAAGAAGAGAGAAATGAGGAGGGATGGTATACTGGGTGACAATGTGAGCAGTGAAGAAAGCATGAGATTAAGAAAGAAAACCAAAATTAACAAAACTTGGGTGAAGAGGAGAGAGAAATGGCTAGTACTTCTGGGAGTTGTTCTTCATGCTGTTTATATGTTAAGCATTTTCGATATTTATTTCAAATCTCCAATTGTTCATGGCATGGATCCAGTCAAACCCCGCTTTTCTCCTCCTGCTAAACGCCTCGTTCTTCTTGTTGGTAACTTACTATTTTACTACCCTTTAATCTGTATAGCTTGTTTTGATATTTTGTTGGATAATATGAGTTGGGTTTGCGTTAATTTTTACTTTGGAGTAGCATTCTTTGATTATAATGATGGTTGTTAGGTATTATGATCTGGGGTTTGTAGCAATTTATTTGTTTGAGAACAGATGAATGTTCAATGTAGATGATTGTGCTTCTATAATGCAATGTTTAATGCTTGATTAATCATTAGCTGTTTTTATTTTGCATTGTTGTTAATCTTGTTAGAAATTATGATTTGGGTTTGCATTAATTTTGAAGTGGGTTCGTTAATTTATGTTCTGATATATGTTCTGAGTGTTGCTGATCTTGCTTTCATCATGAAAGTGCAGTTTTATGCTTGTTTATTAATTTCTAGTTGTGAAACCAATTGAGTGTTTAATAGGAAGGGTTTGGAATACTACATGAGGTTTGATGAGTAATGACTATCAGTTTATGCATGATGTAATTTGAAAGTTGGAAACCCTTATAATGAACATGGCAGCTGATGGTTTGCGGGCTGATAAATTCTATGAGCCGGATGAGGAAGGGAATTACCGAGCACCTTTCCTTAGAAGTGTGATAAAAGAACGAGGGCGTTGGGGTGTGTCCCATGCTAGGCCTCCGACAGAGTCAAGACCTGGACATGTCTCTATTATTGCTGGTTTTTATGAGGATCCTAGTGCTGTTACAAAAGGTATTTACTGAATTTCTGTCCTCTTTTTGTTTGAACTTACTCTTCTGTTCAAATTGATCACTTTGTTTTTCAAAATAAAGTTTGTGAGGTTGCTTCTAGACAACATTGTATGTCTAAATCTGTCTTCTTCGTTGATGCAGGGTGGAAAGCTAATCCAGTTGAATTTGATTCAGTATTTAACCGCAGCCGTCATACATTTTCATACGGCAGCCCTGATATTGTGCCAATATTCTGTGGCGCATTGCCTCACAGCACGTGGAAAACATATCCTCATGAGTTTGAGGACTTTGCTACTGGTACTTTCTCCATCTGTTTTGATTATGTCCCTTGAAGTTTCTTTTCGGCAGTTGCTTAGATGTACTATCTTTGAGCTGATGTGTATGGACTCTACACTTATTGTTCAGCTTGGATAAGAGTCTGATGTGCTACTGCAGTAATCTGTTAAAAGCTACTTCTAACAGGTACCTGTGTACCAAAATGAACTTAAAGTTTTTATAGGTCTGGTGTAATTTCTGGTGAAGTTACAACAACATTGCCACCCTTTTTGACAGCAGTGGGGGGTGGGGGGAGGTTGAAGTCAGATATTTGGATTAGCTCAACTCAATATGTAATGAGAGAGCAAAGATATTTTTCAATAAGAATACATATTGACTATTGATATTAGTTGTGTCAATGCGGCTGAATTTCCACTTTATACTAGTGACTAATGAATTATCTTGATGGTATTTTGTAATAACTTCTTGGACATTCATGAGAATGCTTGATTTTATTTTATGCAGATGCGTCCTTTTTGGATGAATGGTCCTTTGATCAGTTTCAAAGCCTTCTGAACAATTCTAAGGAAGACCAGAACTTGGAGCACTTACTTAAGCAGGACAACATCGCTATTTTTCTGCACCTTTTGGGTTGTGATTCAAATGGTCATGCTCATCGTCCATTCTCGTCTATCTATCTCAATAATGTTAAGGTTGTGGACAGCATTGCTGAGAGAGTTTATAATCTAATGGAGGGTCATTTCAAGGACAATCGAACTGCTTACATCTTTACAGCAGACCATGGGATGAGTGACAAAGGTCAGAGACTCAAAATTAAAAATCGTCTCTCTTATTGGTTTATATTGTTATCTTTTCCATTAGCATTTTTTTTCCTTCATTTCCTTTTTTGTTTTATTTTAAGAGGCGTACTGGAACAAGGGATTATATTGAGAATCAATATCCTGATTTCCCTTAGTTGATGTTTGATTGACAACATAGCAATTTCCTTTACCCTTGTTTAAGTTATCTCCAATTCCAGGTCCCCATGATTTTAAAGTCCCTGTCTGCTAATGCTCTTAATGGAAAAACTTTAACCATGACCATTATAATTAAGCACCACCCTACTTCCCAACCAACCAACATTTTCTGCTGTTGTCATCACCCTACTTCGCACCTCACTACTGCTCCCATCACCTAAAAAGCCAAACCTAGAGGTGGCACTTGCCTAAGGCATAATGAAACCCTGTTGCATTGGTTCGCTTTTAGCCTGTTTATAAATTGGTTTTGGGTCCCACGTTTTGAAGCAAGCCACCAGTTGTTTAATATTGAGATCAGGGAAATAGAATTGCCAAAAGGCCCTAAACTATGAACGATGGTGGTTAAATTTGACCATTAAGGCTTTCTGGAGCTTTGATGGTTAAACCTTCCCAATCTTTTCAATTCCATGTCATTAGTATCAAATCTATCAATAGATGACAGGGAGGCTGGTGCTTCGGTGAAGTGGGAGGATGGTATTGGAGGAAGCGAGGTGTAAATAGTTGGTGTTGGTGAGGGAGCAGTACTGTAATGCAGGACATTGTGGTGTTGACTAGGATTATGGAATTGTGTGGGGGGTGGCTTTGAATTTTTTTTTTTTTTTTCTCCCCTTTTCTTTTTAAATTCTAAAGTCTAAACAGTTTAATGATATAAATAAATGTATAGGAATGAGCTCTTTCTAGCACCAAACCAAAGAGTAGTTTTTTCTTTTACTGATTATTTTCCTTTACTGCGGGTGAGCAAGATCTAGATGGGCTCATGAAGCTGACTAAATCTTAGCAAATTCACGATCTTCTTCATCTTTTACGTGGTTGCACTGGCCTGTGATTTCTTTTGCCCTGAATTATTAGATTTAGAGCAGTCTGTCTTATGACTGACTGTTAAACCCAAAAGATACAAAAGCAATGGAAAAATAGGTCCAATAATGTCAAATAATTTATAAAACATCCATTGACTAAGTTGGTTGTAACACCTTCAACATACACTATTTGTTAGATAACTATTAATGTTACTCCCTCCGTTCCATATTGTTGGTTACGTTTCAATGGTATCCTTAATAAAACACACGTTCCCTTCTATTTACGTATTTCCATTGCAACTATTCCCATCTACCAAAATATTTACCTACCCTCAAAGCAAATAATTCCATTTTCAATGTTGACTTTATACCTTAGTACTTGATGTATGTGACATCTAATCATTGCTTCCCACTATCTTTTTTCGTTAATAACCGCGTAAAAATAGCAAACGTAACCAGCAATGTGGAATGGAAAAAAACAAAGGTAATGTCTTGAGTTTATTTAGTATAAATAGGAAGCTTGTTCGTTGTTTATGACGTACAAAAGAGATCAGTACAATATAAGACTTTCATTTCTATTTCCTGTGTTCTTATTTCTTCCTTGTGCTTCGTTACCTATATTGCCATCAATATTATAACAAAATATGCTTAGAGCCTTAGACCTTATTTAAGTTCCTAATACAGCTACAAATTGCTTGCTTGTTTGTTGTGTTTCCCGGAGTGAATAATTTGTTCACCATTTCACTTTTCCAAGAATGGATGGCTAAACTAAAACCATAGAGCCCTCATCTGTTTTGCAGTTTGTTTCTCCTCTTTCTTATCCTCTTCTCATCATAGTTGGATAGAGAGAAGTACAATACCATTGAAACATTCAATCTTGTATTTAAATTTGATTTGCAATCAACTCACCCCAACAAATGAGAAAAGAATCTCAGGCAAGATATCTAGTTCAATTACTATGTAGCGTCACTTAGTAGGCTATTTGAGCGGAAACTCCTCTGATATCCAGCTGACTCTATTTCCCTGATAGTTAATTTCTTTAATTAACCTCGTAGAAGAAAAACATTAATTTTTCAATGAACGCGGAAAGTTCGAATGAAGCCTCCCTCTGGAGCTTCACTAACTATTCCTATTATAAAATCTCCATCTTTGCACTTTGTCGTCATTATTGAAGTGTTATAATGTCGCATTGCCATTGTTGAACTGGCATTGGAGCTCGCAGTGTCGATCGCCATTGTTGAATTACCATTGGAGTTCTTAGAAGGGATGACAGTAGTGTTTTATGAATTTTTTATTATTTTTATTTTTTATTTTTTGTCAAAAAAAATCAATTGAGAAATCCTATCGTGAAATTAATATTCCAGTCTATCCATAAACAAGATGAATTTGAAATTCTAGCAATTTTCCAACACCATATTTGGAATTATATATTAGAATTTCATTTCCAAGAATTGAAATGAATTTTTTGAAATCAAATACTGATTCCCAAACACTGCCTAATGGACTATAATGAGCTGGTTAATGAGTAGGCAAAATAGAGGAAAGGAAATAATAGATCAGGCATGCTAGATTATCAAAAGCTGCAATTCCAGCAGAGACAATAACTTTGATATGCTGCATACTTTAATCTGATATGATTGTGCTTATGCTTTTCATTTGACTTGTTGAAGCTGATGCATAGGTAGTCATGGGGATGGACATCCTTCAAACACTGATACTCCCCTTGTTGCTTGGGGAGCAGGAGTGAAAACTCCCAGGCCTAGCTCAAGCAACCATTCTGATTGCGGTTTCCGTTTTGTTGATGAGCATTCTCATGACACACCAACACCAAATGAGTGGGGTCTTGATGGCATAGAGAGGGTAGATGTCAATCAGGCCGATATTTCGCCATTGATGGTTGTTTTATCTTCCTTGATCATCTGTTTGATGCCTCTTTATTTATTTATAGCTTACTTGTATTATTCTCATTTCTTGTTTGTCTTCTTAACAGTCCACTCTACTTGGTCAGTCATGTCCTGTAAACTCAGTTGGAAGTTTACCTCTTGATTACATTGACTTCAATGAGGTAAGCTCCGACATTATTTGTTTCACTATACTTTAACAGTATGGCAGATATTTTCTGTTTGTTTGTCATTTCTGTATGTAACTTTATTCCACTAACTGAAAGTTTCCAGGCTGAAGAAGTTGAAGCTGTCCTTGCTAATACCAAACAAATTTTAAACCAATTTCTCCGCAAGTCATGTATCCTTTTTGCTGTGACTACTTTCCATGTCAATATTCTTGCATTTTCTGCACATATTATATTGTTTTCTTGTCTAAGTTATCACGACCTGTTTCTCAAAGAAAATAACAGCTTACTTACTTTTTGGGAAGACTAGGTTTTATTTACGAAGTAGCAGAACTACTTGCCGTAGTGATGTTATGTTACACTTAATACTAGGAGATAAGTTGTCTATACTAGCTGCCTGCATTCTTAAATAAAAGAGCTTGTTACTATATTTTATGAATACTGGATCTACAAAAGCAAGTGGTAGAACTTCTTGGCATAGTGGTGTTTGGTATGCTTTGTACTGAGAAATAAGTCAGTCTGTACTAGCTGATTTTGTGATCTTGAGCATAAAACTTAATAAAAGTGCGTTTCCATTTTTCCCATTATTATCCAACAATCTCATAATTCAAAATTTCAAGAATTGGTAGAGTGTGATTGTATGGGTTTGGAATCCAGACTGAAAAATGATGGCATGGGGTTGGAACTTGATTTTTAATACCTTTGTGTTTGGTTGATGGTGTGGAATGATTTTTTTTTCTTTTTATTTGAAACATAGAGGTGTGGTATGAGCTATACACTTTCCCCCCTCCGCAGGTTTTCTAACCCCATACCATATGGGTTTGAGGTATGGATTTAAAATTTGAAATTCTCTAAAACAAACAAAAGGTATGGGCTATCCTCATTGCAAACCCATACCTCATACCTAAAATCTACAAAACAAACGCCCCCTAAGTGGATTTAAAAGTGATTGCTGTATTATGTGAGTTTTTATGAATAGGTGAAGTGTTAAACTTACAAGCTGGAATCAGGCCTTTCCCTCTCTTCTATTGGGTTACAAGCTGAGACCTAGTTTGCCAATCAATATAAGTTGACAGTGTCTTAGTCTTATACAGGAGGGAAAGGGTTTAGGCAGCCTCGTATGCAAGTTATCCATGAGATGTTTCTTTATAAAGTTCAATTATTTTGCGGTCCCGGATTGTCACTGTAATTTGTCTTTTGTCTCAATTTTGTGCAATGTATCTAGGACCATCAATCTCATATTCTCATATAAACAGAGGAGAAGTAATTCTGTTGCTACAACTACTGCTAGGATTATTAAATTTTGTTCTTCTTGTCATAGTTCTTTTTTCTTTATTCTTTTATTTGTTGTTTTGTAATTTTATCGCTGCTGAACTCTGTGTTGTTATATTTGAATGTTAAAGCTACTAACCTGTAGGTGTAATAGTTCATTGTTCATGGTTTACTGTGCTCCGTATAATTTTGCAGTAGACTGTAACATCTAGTGGGTAGTACTATTTTCCTTGACAATAATTAGATGTTAAACAGTCACATTCTTTAATTTTTAAGACTTTCAAGCCTCTGGCCAACTATTCAGCAATGCTGGATAAGATTGAAGAGCTTATCTCTACTAAAGACTATCATAGTGCGATGGAACTATCTGAAAATCTCAGAAAACTGGCGCTTGAAGGACTTCATTATTTTCAAACCTATGACTGGATGATGCTCATGACAGTAGTGATTCTTGGATATATTGGTTGGATATTTTATCTAGTGATCCACGTGCTGCAATCATATACTAGCTTGCCTGGTCAGATAATGTACAGAGAGGAAGCTTGTCAAGTGGACAAAAAGATGGGAAAGGTATGTGTAAAATACATGCCTACTGATTGCCTCTTTTTTGTTTCTTTTCTCCAATTTTGTGTTACTTGCAGAATGTGTTCCATTCTTGTGGAGTTGTGATTGTTTTATATTTTTTTATTACTAGAGCACTCTACTTCCATAATTTGTCTGCAGAATGTATTCCATTCTTGTGGAGTTGTGAATGTTTTTTATTTTTGATTTTTTAATTTACAACTAGAGCACTATGTGTCATGTAAAACTGATGTCTATTCATGTAAAACTTACTCTTTTTGCGAGAAACTGATATGTGTTAGGAGAAAAGAACGCTATGAAATTGTAAAGAAAGAATGTTGATGTGAAATATTTTACGTGAAGAAAACTAACAATTACAAAAGAAATAAGTTACTTAGCTTGTGTCTAACTGCATATAATGAAATTCTACCATTCCATGAAGAAATTTATTTCAGAGTAGTTTCCAATAAAATAGATTGAAAAGTCAGTTGTATTGCTAAATTAATCAGCTTGGCTCTACCATAACAACCCAATAGAGTATAGTCCTTGCAGTATGGCAGGCTCTTATCTCAGCTTAGTAACTTTAGTCAGAACTGTCCGTCTGTACCCCTTAAGTTTCTGTACACAAACATTTTCATTGAAATCAATGAGTTTCCTTCCAAACATACTCTCAATGTTCTAGTGTTCCTTTAAATATTACTTATGTCGCAAATCCATTTTGATTTTATGTATCAAACAATCAGCTTGTGTAGTAACTTCTTCAAGGACTTGCACAATTAGGAGTGTCTATGAGAATAATCCATAGCTAAGTTTTAGTTGTATGGCTTAAATGTAGCAAAATGAACTTAGGGAAAATTTTGATTCTTCAATATTTCTTCTGGTGATTATTTACCTTGTTGCAAGAAATTAATTTGTAGCTTTGATATTATCTGTGATGAATTTGGGCTTTGTCACTTTATTTTAAGTCCTGTTACTTCTGTTTTCTGTATGACTGAAATGCTAGGTACTAAAATGGGTTTATTTGGTCATTTGATATTATTTGCATTAAATTCACTAGATGGTATGAAAAAGCATCATATTATTTGAATTGATACTATCTTTCAATAGATTGATTTTTTTTTTTTAAAAAAAAAAAAAATAAAAAAAAAATTGATATTTACATATATTGAGTCCTACTGTTTCCGAGTCAACATTACTCAACATTCAACACATATGCTATGCTCTAATGTTTATAGATCCAAGCATTTAACTTGTTTTGCATTATGTCATGCATTTTGGAATATTCCAAATGCCTTGTCTTGAAACGTCATACTTTATTTTCTTGTTAGTTCATCTGTAAGAATAATCGTATTTCTTTCTGTTAACGATGTCAATAACCTTCTTTGCTGCTTTTTATGTAATATTATTACAATATTTATTTCTTGCAGGTCTATATACTTGGAAGTTTGCTGATGGGGGCATTTTCTATAATACTGCTTGTTGAGCGTTCTCCTCCTCTCTATCATGCTTACACTGCAATGACTGTTTTCCTTTGGACACAAATTTTAAGTCAGTACCAGTTTTTAAATGCTTTACTGAGAAGCTTTCAGAAGGAGAAATTTGATTACTTCGTCAAACTTCTAGCTTATGGCATTGTGTCATTGATTATTCTTGAATTTCTGGTATGGTTTTAGCTAAACAAATTGAACAAGCTATTCATTGAAATTTTAAACGATTGATGAAACTTCACAATTTTTACTTTGAACAGTTTGCCCCTTGTGTAGGTACACAGCTTTACAGAAAGGAAGCTGTACACCTGGTGCTTCCTAATTGTTGGTAGTGTAGCTCCCTTATATCTTTATCATGCAATTCCGTGGAAATCATGGATACCAGGATTTGTGTGTGTATCATGCTGGTCGTTATCAATTTTCACATTGATGCCTGCAGAAATTCCTGATAATACATTCTTAGTGTAAGTTTTTCTCTCACATCCCTATCTATTTGTTGGGTTTTTTTTTTTTTTTTTTTTGGGTTCCATTTAGAAGCCTTGTGTGTGTTTCTAAACCATTCTTGCCTTGTATTATTGATAAAGATAATCTTTTACCAAGTCTGCGTTTGGGGGAAGAGGAAGGGGAGAGAATGAGACATACTGAGTTCAATTTTTTTTTTTTTTTTTTTTTTGAAAACTACTGAGTCCAATTTATTTCCTATAAGACACCATATTTACCATATAGAGTCAGTTTATAAAGATTAGAAACTTAAGAAAATTTGTGGATATTTATCCTCCAACCTTTGGAAACATGCAAGTGTATATTTTTATGGTTAATTTAGCTTCCTTATAGTTTAACATTCCCATTAAACATGACCTTCCACAGAAACATAGCTTTTATTTGATTATTTAAATATTTTTTTATTATTATTTTTTTGAGATTTAGAATATTGATAATCTTTATAAAATATGATAACTTAGGAAAACTTAACAAGATAATCCAACCTTTGCTTGGTTCTCCAAAATAATTTTACTTTTTGATTATTTCTGAATAATCAAACCTTTACCACCCATTTTCCCCTAGCAACCGATTGCCTACCCATTACAACTGGTTGCTAATCCATGTGTCACCTTGTTTATTTTAATTATGTTAATTAAAGTTAACCAAAAAAAAATAAATAAAAAAAAATGAAACAACAACAGCAAATATCCCACTTCTCTCTGTTTTCCCTTTCTCGCTTCTTTCTCTCTCCATCCCTTCCCTGGCTTTCCTCCATTACCACCACTTTCCTTGGTTCCTTCTTTGTACGTGTGTGTGAGTGTGCGTGTGCGTGTGTGTGTGGTCTTGTTACATTTGTCTCAATTTTCCAAATATTAAAATTTTATAATATTTAGTGATAGATAATTGAAGATATTAAAATTGATATTATGCTTCGGAAAACGTGCCTAAAGGAAATGTGTCAACTGAAATGAGATGGAGGAAGTATATGGTTAAAAGAAAGCTATATATTGATACTCGATAGAGGATATACAAAGCAAAATAAAAAAAATTATGAGAATAAATAGTAGTTAACTGAACTTGTATGTCTGATTCTAGATAAACTTTAAGTTATATATTGAAAAATATTAAGACAAATGCTCAATTTTGGCATGTTTAACTGCAGATACGTTAATTGGAAATAAAAATAGTATTTGTTTGCTATGATGCCATAATCCATGTATATGGTTGTAGCAAATATGTTAATGTTTTATTATTGAAAAACATGTTCTAAACGACTAAACTTTAATATTTTAGAATCTCACATTAATAAAATCATGACAATCAAATTTGGAATCAGAAACCTGGGTTTAACTTGTTGGTTATGAGGTACAAGATGATGCTGATGTCTGTTTTACTTGTTTACAGTGTTGTTAGTGGAGCTATGATAATTTTAATTGGACTAGCTGCAAGATGGTTAGAACTGTGCTATGGAGAGAATAAATTTTGGCAGAATATCATAAATCCTGAATTGACCAAGCCGCAGTTACCAATGCTTTTTCCTCTGCAGGTACATAGATATTTGTTATAGTAATGCTAGTTTCATTGATATGAATTTATTCACCAGGTTCTTTCTTCTCCTTGGTGACTAACATGAACAGACCCCTGATGCTTCTTCTCTCATAAAACATAGGCTGTTTTGGTGGGTTTATCGTCAGTGATGCTCTCTCTATCAACATCACACAGAACTCAAAAGCAAGAATTACTTGTATTTCATCAGCTAACAAATTGGTCTGTGGCAGGTATGATCTTTCTTTCATCTTCATCCTTTCCTACAGTTTTGAGACATGAGCCCAAAAGTACTGAAAAGCAGTGGCAGATCCAGTATGTTTTCAGTTGAACCCATACTGGATCTGGAAAAAATCTAATAGGGTTTTTGAGTAATTAGATAAAAATCAATACGAATATTATTTTATAATACTTTTAGCAGCCCAGCAGTAGGAGCACTACATAATATATCAACGGCCTCAATGCGCATCCTTTTTAGGGAATTAACCATTATCCAAAATACCAACAAAGCCTAACTTTCCACGATTTCCAACATCTTCCTCTGTCTCACTATCACTCCCTAAGCTCCCTGTGTTGACATTGGATTTTGTCACATTTATCAATATTTTTCTAGTTAAAGATGATGATGTAATATATTGCTTTCAAAACATGAAGAGATGTCGAATTTAATTGTAACTTGTGTAATACGTGCATACCTATTTTGGATTACGCTATTTGATTTCGTTGTGTCTGTTTAGTGACTCCGGAAGTTGTAAAATTTTTCTTACATGTACAAACCCAAATTTTATGTTGTAATTTGTATTTTGGATTATGCTATTTGATTTCATTATATGTATTTAAAGAACTCGAATCAAGGAAGTTTTCCTTGATTTGCTACTGATGAAAAAAAGGGGATAAAAAGAAAAGAAAAACTGAAAAAACGATGTTGCCACTCTTGTTCCTCATGTCTGTAGTAAATGGGTCTGCACTAACTTTGTACTGCATCCGTCCCTAACTAAGCCAAGTTTGATTGGGGTTCATTTCTAAGCGTTTGAGTGAATATATATCATTGTATTTCTTCATTGTTTAAATTCTGCATCTGTTTCCATGTGATTTTAGGTTTATTAAGGATAGTACAGGAAGTCCAAAGTCCAAACTTTAACTTGCTGAATCATGAAAGTGGCCTTTTATTTGAGGTTTGGATGTCTTAAAGTAGAATAATTAGAAATGTGTCTTAATATTAAGAGATTGATGGAGTAATTTAAAATTTGAGGTGACCTTATTTTACTGATATGCTGGAGTAATTTAAATTTGAGGTGACTAATATGTTACCAATATAGTAGAATGATGACCCGCTTAATTAGTTTGATACTTTGAACATTAGAAGAAAAAAATTAATGACATTAGAACTTTGATGTTTGTATATAGCTGGCATGCTTAATCTTCAAACTTCATAGTTTCTTCTTTGTCAAATGAAATTCTCTACAAATATTACACGTTCCATATTTTTGTAAGTGAAACTTTTCTCATGTGCACGTATGCTAATGCAAAACTTTGACCATTATATCTATAATTAATGAGAAGTAAAAATTATAACAATTGAATGTTAATAATCTATTCACTGAGACGATTCCAACAAGTACCCACAATACTATAATTTTTGTTATGTATATAACTAACATTAGTCAAAGTGCATTAGGTGAATAGTGCAAACAGTCAAAATGTTTTACTTACTACGACAAATATGGAGGGATCTCCTGAAGTTGTTTTGCCCAATTCTTGCATTTTGAGACAAATCATTTACATTTACTTTCTTTCTAGACAAGGTGTAGTAGATTAATACTTTATTTGTTTTCTTCTAGTTACTGTGTGATTAGTGTTTTAAGTCTAGTTGTAATAGTGGTTTCGCGATTGGTACATCAATTCCTATCCAAAAAAAAAAAAAAAAAAAAAACCTACATGTTACTGTTCTGAATTTTCTGGAGGTGTTTTGGCCTCGAGACATATGCTAACACTTTTCATGTTTCATTTGATAGGATTTTCAATGATTCTCCCCTTATTTTCAGCACCTTGCCTTTTGTCTAGATTAACGTCCATTTTTCTTGGATTTGCACCAGCGTTTTTGCTTTTATCAATTGGGTAAATCTGCTCTCTCCATATATGCAATGAAACCTACTGTAGTCAACTTATTGTGCTTAACCATGTTTGGAAGCAGTAATTAATTTTTCCAACTTTTGAAAATTGTAGCTATGAAGCACTGTTTTATGCTGCACTTGGTCTAGTACTTGTGGCATGGGTACTATTTGAAAATACAATTTTCAATTTAAGTAAGGCAAGAAGATATTCAGTTTCTTCAAATAGTGTGGTTAAAGAGGTCCCTACTGAGAATGGGAATAGATCTTTGGAGTTGTCTGATGCAAGAATTGCTTTGATCTTTGTAAGTCACTCTCCTTCATGTTTATCAAGAAAATTTAAGGTATTTACTAATTCAAGTCATAGACAGCTCAGTCTTTTTGCATGGTATATAATGGGTTTTTTTTTTTAAGTTGCGAATTAATTGTGCCATTACTAAATTGGCCAAGTATTCTCTCTATCTCTCTCCTCATCATGTAGATTCCCTTTTTAATTACTCTCTACATCTCTCCTCTCCTGAAACAACGTGCATCCCCTCCACCTTGCACTTGTAAGAGAATTGAGGGTGTACAATCTATCTGCAAAAGATTTTACGCTCGTGTTTCTTATTTTCTCTGGATTATTAGCAAAAAATTAGTCATGTTATGATAATTGCTTTTTTGTGCAATTTCTATTATGAAGCATATGGATTTGCATGAGGAATGAGGTATTTGATCGTAAGGGGTGGAGGAGAAAGATTTTTGTTGATGACTATACGGAATAATAATATTTTTTGGTTCATGTAGCCGACCCCACTTATGAGGTTAAGGCTTTGATTGATTGATTGATTTCCATTATGTTTGTAAAGTTTTATCAATGAAAAGTCAAATATGTGTGCAATGCTACACCTTTATTGGTAGCATAACTGCTTGATACACAAAGTAGTTGCTGTTTCGGGGTTTTCTGATGTCCTGCGGGAGAGTTACAATTCCGAGACTGGAACCGGACGCCTGTACCTGCAAAACAAACGGATGCTCCGGATGATTGGAGATCCGCCTCCGACGGTCAAGTTAGTACTTGATTAAGGAGTAATTAATGCGGAAATTAAAGTGATTGGGTCTCTCTAGGTGAGAGTGTTTAATGTGTGTAATCTGCGTTTTTAGTGTTCTCTCCCTTAATGAGGATTAAGGGAGGTATTTATAACCTCGGGAAACGTGTCAATCTAGGTTTAGGTTAACCTTGGGCTGATTGGGCTTCCTTCGGAAGTTGGGCCTAGGTGACCGGTTATCCCAGGTGTCATGGGAAGGACACGTGTCGTGTCGTAATTGGTCCATAGTGGACGGATCATTGCTTGACACGTGGCAGGCTCCTATTGGCCCATGTGACGGACACATGGCGGAACCTGATTGGTCCACTTGTCAGATGGTGATTGGTGGGGAAAAATCCCCTAATCATTTGCCCCTCACAGGTGGCACGTGACTGGTCACGTGTTACCTGTGACAGGTATCGCCCTGTAACAGGCGACGGCCTGCTACAGGTGTCACTCGGCGAGAGGCCGAGAGATTCTCCCGCCAAAATTTTGAATTCTGGAAGTGACCCTTCGCCTTCTCACTTCGCCTATATAAAGGAGTGTTGACTTCGGTCATTTTCACACTTGAAAAACTTTGTGAGAGAACATTCGGACCCCTGAACTTGCTCTGACATTTTGGACCCTTTCTGCCTACCGCCTGCTCTGACAAGCCGACTGCAAAGAATTTTTAGAACTTCATCAATCGTCACTCGTTCAGGTAACCGTCGGTTCTCTTACTCTTAATTTTCTCTTTACTTTATTCTTTTTTTGAAATGGCACCAAGGAAGCACACGGCACGACCTAGGTTAGTGATCAGCCGGTCACCGGGGACGGCTGAATCTAGGACTAGGAGTGCCGCCTGCCCTTTTCTGGACCCATCTTTGCCCTTTATACAAAGTCCGACTGTATCTGTGTCTATGCAGAGCATGATGGCCAGAACAAAAAAGACTGCCAGGATCTCAAACTCAGACGGCTCCTCCCACAGGGTGCCGATTAGTGAAACATCTGACCAGGCGCCAGATGTGGAAGTGAAACAAAGCGGCTTGAAAGCCGGCAGTTCTGAGGGAGGAGTCAAAGTGACCCCTTCCCATTTTACAGTTGACAATTCTACATTCTCTCCTGCTCCTTTTAAAGGAGAGGAGGCGGGCCCCTCCGGGAGAGGGGAAGAGTCGTCCTCTTCGGACTCGTCAGAGGACGATTCCGAGTCTAGCTCTACTGGCCATGCTTCCCTGCACACAGAAGAGAAAAACAGTCGCCTACAAGAGGCGAGGCTTTCTCACGCAGTTGAGAAGGGGGATGATTGGGCGGAGCCATCCGCCTCTCACCGAGAGCAAAATACCCCCTACTACTGCACGGTACCTCGGGGCCGGATCACGGCCATGCAAGAGAAAGTGGAGAGCTTTATCGCAAACCACACAATGGGCCCCGACTTTTTAGTGTTCGTGCCGGATCCAGAAGACACAGTCGTATGGCCGGCTGGTACCAGTTATGATGGCGCCTGCTTTGGCTGCTACGAGGCGGCCATCAAGGCTGGGCTGCGCTTCCCACTACATCCAGCTGTTCAGCGGATCTTGGATGGGTATGAGTTGGGGTTATGGCAGTTAGCCCCGAACTCCTGGGTCAACGTACTCGGCTATGTGGCCGGGTGCGAACTGCACGGGGTGGAGCCGAGCTTCGAGGCTTTCGCCCACATGAACTACCTCAGCCGGACCCCTAAGGCAGGCGGTACCGGCTGGTATCAATTGACGAGCCACAGGGGCTACCTCATGACGAGAGGTAAAGCAAACAAATGGAAGGACTGGCGGAGCACCTTCCTCATCATTGAGAGTTCAGACACAGAGCTGAACAAGCGCTTCAACAGGTGGAACAGAAATCCGCCCCTTCTTGCAGGCGGCCGCAGCATGCCGCCTGTTCCCCCCAAGGCTAAGAAAGAGATCCTAGATAAAGGACTCTTCAAAGTAGAGTCGAAGGTGAACTCTACTTCAGGGGTACGAGAGCAAGTACCCCTGCACTGCGTCCCGAGCTTCAAATGGCTCTACGACGAGTACTTTTTGGCCGCCTGTGTCCTCAGCAGTCTGTGCTCAAGAGGTAGCCGGCCTGTCGAATACTCTGTGCCGTGCATTTCTTGTTATGACTTTTATTAACTTTGTTATTTGTTTTTGCAGCGGACGCCATGAGCAAAATTACCGCCTCCAAGACTGCGGCGGCCATGTTGCGGGCCTCCATCATGCAACAGTCTTCAACCGACTCCCCCAACAAGGGGGCACCCTTGGTGGGCTTCGAACCTTTCACCCTCTTTTTGGAGTTGTGTTTATGCATATACTGACTCTTTTCTTTTTTTTTTTTTTTAGACGGGCGCTCCAAGAGCTTCTTCTTCCCAACAGCCGGACCCCAAGGCCCGGAGGACGACTGTTGCGAGCTCTCCTGGTTCTGCCAGGGCTGAGAAACAACCGGCCACTTCTTCTAAAACTCCAGCTGGGCCACCTAGAAGTATGAAATTGTTCTTGTAAATTTTAGACTTGCTCCCTTCTTTACTAGGTCTAATCCGTTTGTTTATGCTTGATGCAGCCGGCCCTCAGGAGCCTGACTTGGTCGAGGTGGCCAAGTCTATGATCAAGGCCGTTCCTCCAGCTGAAAGGGAGGCGGTCAGGGGTGTCGGCACCCTTGACCTAGACGGGATTGCAGGGGTCCTTGCTGAGGTATACTTAGCATATTTTTGAGTATTTGAATTCCAGGACGCCTGTTTTCTTTTTGTTTGGAAACTGACGCCTGTTCCCCTTTTTACTTAGGCCCTGCTCCGAGTGAACGGCCTTCGCAAGCCGCTTGACCGGAAGAACAAAGAGGTAAAGGCTGCAAAAGCTATGGCCGCCTCTGACTGTGATAAGGCAATGTTTCAAATTGCCCAAAATGAAGTTCTGACCATTGATATTCTTTATTATCAGGCGCAGGCTACCGCCGCTATCCGGGCTCAGTTAGAGGCGGCTCAGAAGAGGAATAGCGAGCTGGAGGCGACCATCAACAACCTCAAGGCCGAGCTAAGACCTCTTCGCCAAAAGATGTCCTCATACGAAACCTTGGAGAAATCCTTGGCGAGCGTAAAGGTACGCCTGGTGTCCCAGGAGAAGAGTCTTACTCAGGAGCTCTCGGAAAAGGCCGAGCAAGAAAAGAAAGAGCTGGTCCGGGAGATGATGGAAGACTCTGCTCAAATCCAGCGCATGACTTGGGGCCGCCTCTTCCCCAATGCTGACTTTGCCTCATGGGAAAAAACGTACCGCCAGTGTTCTGATAGATATAATCAAGAGATCCTGGCGGCAGCTGAGGAAGAGGCGTTGGAGGAGGAGGAGGAGCAGCCGGTAATGGCGCTTGTGCCGCTTGGGGGTAATGCATCAAAGAAGGATGCAGCTGAAGCCGAGTCCAGCAGGAAGAGTGCTGACCAGGCGGCAGCTGCTAATATTGAAGATCTGCCCCCTTCTTAAGCTTTATGTCTTCTTTCCACGGCCTGCGTGCCGTTTGTTTGTATTTACCCGGCCAGGGGGCCGGGGCTCTGAATATTTTGCCGGTCTTTAATGACCGGCTTCTTTTTAATGAATTTTTTTGTTTTGCTTCAAATTTGTTTAAGTATTGAATATTTACACTATACCGACTGTTTTACATGGCCGATAGTTGCAGACAGGTACGGATAGTTAGTCACGCCGCCTATGCCCCTGGACGACTGGTTGTCTGTTTCCAGGCTAGACGATCAGTCGGCCATTTATCCAATCGGTATTCGAACCATTTTAAAGACTAGATCCCCTTTAGGCAGGCGGTCCTGTCATTTGTAAAATTAACCAAGTAGGAAAGTTGTTTCCTACTTGTCATGCTTTTAGGCTAGAGACTTTAGGCCGTCTAGGCCGACTGTTTCCCGCCATATTTAATCTAGTGTGAACAGGTGTTGTATGAACACCTTTTTAGTTTCATACTAAAATTTTTAAGGAGTGACCAAGTAAACATGATTGTTACCTAGTCGCCAAGTAACTGAGTAGTAGAGGTATCAAGCGGTGGATATCGGTTGTTCCCCTTTATTCGCCAATGTTTGTTGGCTTTTAACTCATAAGTTGTTAACCTAGCAGGAGTAGTGGTTGAGAGCCCCTGTTTGCTAAAAACAGGCGGACGACTCATACCTTTTAGGCTCCATACAAAGTTTGAGAGAGTGACTATGAGTTAACTTTGGAGTTACTCAGTCGCCGTCACTCCTGCTTGAGTAGTAAAGGTACCAG